TCAACTATGGCCAACATAAAGTCAAACTTCAAGATTTTTGGTCAATATCAACATTTTTAAGTGATATTCATCATTTTATCAAGGGTTGATCATGATTCCCTGAGGAAAGTCCTCAGATCATCAAAAGTCAAGAATTTGCTAAACTAGGGTTTTCCTTATGAGATGTCAACTAAACTTTGACCAGGCATAACTTTCACATGCTTCATCAACTTTTCCCCAACCAAAGCCCATTTTGAAGTAAATTCAATTCTATACAACTTTGCTTTTATTCTTAAGTCCAAAAGATGCTTCATTTGGAAGATATGATCTCATACATTATAGGTCATTTTCAAAAAGTCAACAAAAGACACTTTTTATCAAGGCAACTTACACCAATATAATATCTCCAAATACAAAATTAATTAAAAGAGAAAGTATAGAGGACATCTCAGACTTTCCAAAAAGTCAAAGATCATCTCCAAAAGGTGAAAATTGAGCAAGTTATGAGTTGCACAAGTTGGGGAATTTTGAAGGAATTCATGAATTTCAAGTTGGGCAATTTTGAACTTTTAGACCAATGGACCTAATTTTTTAGACTCACACACGTTCATGATATGTTAGAGTACCCATAAAACCATTCCATTATTTTTTAGGATTTTTATTTATTTTATTTGAATTTTTTCATTTAAAACAAATTAAATCAAGAACAAAGTGTAAAGCAAATGAGCCTAGGCATATGATTGGACTTATGGGTCAAGATTGAAGCCCAAATTTCGTGAAAAGACCAGCAAGGAAGTCCAGGTTCAATGCATGTCAAGAATGGCAAAGATTTCACAAGTTTGGAAACATTTTAATGTGTTTTATCTTGTTTTGAAAAGTGCCTTAATGCCTTGATTCTTACCTTACTTGTTTGCTCTCCTCTTACTCCGATATATATATACCACACTATGCAAACTACAAATGGACGGAAAAAATCATTGCCTAAGAGCACGAAAAAACCATTTCCTAAGAGAGAGCTCGAAATTCATAAAAAATTCCAAGAAATTATAAAACTCATAACCCAAGTTTCAGCTTCTCTCACTCAAAACCAGTGACTCCCTCATCCTTCTGAGACCCCTAAGAGACGATCCACATCATTATCCAACCCCCACGCATCTCAAAATTTCTTCATACCATCTCTCTGATTTGGTAAAATTTTGATTTTGAATCTCTTTGATTTCGTAATTTAAATCATTTTTATGCGTATATTCTTATTACTATCGATGTTTTGTGCAAGTCTAACGTTTTACACGCAAGCATACAGGCAGAAATAACGTGATGCCATCATTAGGGCATTAAGAACGATTAGTTTCAGATCTTAGGATATGGAACGATCCAGACAAAAATAAGCTCAGATTCGGAATCAGGACATTTTCTTTTTTTAATATTTATGTTGTCTTATTAACTCTTTTTTTAGATAATTAACTCAATCATAAAAATCTCATAAAATCAAAAACCCAAAAAAAATAGATTTAATTTTAATTAATAATCACTTGCTTTTTTTTTAAAATTAAAATCAATTAGACATTAGATTTTTTTATTATCATTAACTTAATTTTCTCAAATCAATTAAAAAAAATCATAAAATTGAAATAAAAAAAAATAGATTTAGGTTTTTTTTTTAGATTAAAATTAATTTTTGACAAAATAATTTTTATTCCATTTTAATGTTTATTTCATAATTAATTTATAATTAATTTAGACTTTTTTTTTAAATATTAAGATTAAATCACAAAAATATCAAAAATATTTAGGCTTTTCTTTTTAGGATTATTAATTTTCTTTCTAAATAATCTTTCCTATTAATTTCTATTTATTTACCATTTTAAAAATAAATGTATAGGTCGCACATATGATTTTGTAATAGTTAGTTTATCTTTTTTTCGCATTTTCTTTCTAAATATTGTAACTGCTTATGGGATGTAATAGTTTAGGATTTCCTTTCCCACACTTTTACTTTCCGTACCTCTGTATATACATGTATACTATTGTTAGTAATTAGGTCGTGTATGGCAAGGTAAAAACAAACGTTAGCAAACCTAACGCTCAAGATAAACTTAACTGAAACACAAACACACTCGCACACGCGTACCTCTAAGGTACCTCCACTTGTTGCCTTCGGATAAATAAACAGTCACGACTCTCGAATATAAGAGATTTTAGTGGTAACCCTTTAGTTTAAAGATCATAAGTCCCTCGATGACCCTTTCGACGTTGCCTCGGTGTGTGATCTTAAAACCTTAGGGTAACTACTAAAGTATCTTACTAGTTGCTTTTGTGACTGTATGATGACCCTCGCCCGTCCTTCAAAAATCCAACGATAGGGCTACCTACTGACTAATAGTAGGATAACACTATTTAAGAGAAATGAGGAAAAGAACAAAAATCTTTCGAGTAGGTATATAGCTCATAGTTGCTTGCTCACATAAACAAACAAATTTTTTTTTTACAAAGACAAAAAACACACTTTATATACGTTCTTACCGAAACGAGAAATATTACAAAGTTCGTCGTACTAAGGCGTCTTTTCAAAATACTTTCAAAATACACTTTACACAAAAAGCATTTTTCACAAGTGAGCTAGCAACTAAGAGCCTGTAGATAACTATGAATGGAAATGATGCTAACATATTCCCTTTCCACAACCTACCCCTTTACTCAAAAAATAATCTCGAAAGGTATTTCCTGTTCTTTTCATCCTTTCTTTTATTGGATAAAAGAAAAGTCGGTGGCAACTCTTGCTAACCGCAACATTTATGATAAAATGCAAAACCAGTAAAATCAGTTCTCCCACAGTATTACACCATCTTATGTGACATTGCATAAATTGCATTGATGAGTTGTGATATGATGAAAATTGTGAATTGTGTTATTATATGAATTTTGATGATGAAAGAAGTATGAATGATATTATGAGGTATTTCTGAGCATGAAGTATTGATGAATAGTATGTGTTGTTATATGATGATGTTGTTATAACTACTTCTCCTTTCCTTATATCTTCTATAATGAATTGTGATTACTCACCATTTCTATTTGAATGTTGCATCCACGTGGTTAACGCGCAGGTGACCAGGAGTAGTTCGTAGAAGCGTAAATAATAGCTTCAGAGTGTCTTATTGAGTTGTTTCATTAGTAGTGTCTTGCTTTGATATGTAACATCGGACTGAGAGCGTAGAGTTTTGTGAATGTTATGCTTTGTTTTGATGTAGACATACTTTATGTCGACTTTGATTGTTTCCTCTGGTTTTAATAATTGATGAGACCAATGTTGTGAATTTCGAGAAGTTAATGATGATATATGATGATGACTTTTTGATGTAGTGTTTTTTAAATGAAGTGTTGAAATTATAATTAGAAGCATGTTTAACACTGATGTAACCCGTATTACAGAACATAATTATTTATTATGATTCTTTCTATGAAGTGTGACACCCTTTAGTGGTCATTGTATGTTGATTTAATTCGTAAATTATTCATAATTTCTTGTGGGATTTAGAAGGGTGTTACAAACTAACTCAATTCTTTTCAGTTTGAAATATGAAATCAGTAATAAACAAAAGAATAAGACGAATTAATCTACCTTTGAAAAAGATGAAAGTTGATGAAAGGTGGAGCGTAAGATCTCGCCGTGGAAAAATAAAGGACCGTTGATCCTTAACCAATGACAATTGTGACCATTAGTTCCTCATATTGTGTTGGACAACTTGTCTCCACAGTATGAGATTTAAATATAGAAGTGAATAAGAGATTTGAGATTCATAATCAATGGTTGTTGAAGGAGACGATGATTCAAAATCTATAATTTCCATTGTTGAGTCAAGGAGATGACTGTCCTGGATAAAGATGGCGACGATTAGGTTTTGTGAAAGAAGAGATAATTAATGTCTATTAGATTGCGCTAATTAAGTTTTATGGGAGAGGAGAAAAAACAATAATCATACTAAATTATAATCCTATAACTTCTCTATCATAAATTTCCCTCCAAAACTCTTTTTTCTAATTAATTAATTAATTAATAAATCATCATCATACTAAATTATAATCCTATAACTTCTCCATAATAAATTTTTCTCCAAAACTCTATTTTTAATTAATTAATTAATTAATCATACTAAATTATAATTCTATAACTTCTCCATCATTAATTTTTCTCCAAAACTCTTTTTTCTAATTAATTAATTAATAAATAAATTCTTATAATTATTAATAATTAAATTTAATGTTAAAAAGTAAATTTATAATCCCACTAATTTCACTACTTCATTATCAATTAAAAAATAATTAAATTTTATAAATTAGTTAAATTTTATACTAAATTATAATCCTATTAATCATACTAAATTATAATCTTATAACTTCTCTATCATAAATTTTCCATTAAATTTTATACTAAATTATAATCTGTAACTTCTCCATCATAAATTTTTCTCCAAAACTTTTTTAAAAATTAAATAATAAATAAATAAATTCTTATAATTATTAATAATTAAATTAAATTATAAAAAGTAAATTTATAATCATTTTATAGTTCTATCCAATTTCTTTTTCTTCTTTTTATTTGTTATTATTTTTAAATCCATAAAAAATAAATAATTTATTATTGTTACTTTTCTTAAATAGTATAGAGATGTGAATGTGTAATTTTAGTATTTAAAAAAATTAATGAAAAAAATATGTGTTGTATGGTAATAAATTCTTATTCATGTGATTAGTGGGATAATATATAATATATATTTTTTAAAGGTGGTATAGAATATGGTTAGTGAGATAGTATAATTTTCACTATTTTTTATTTTTATTTTTAATTATGTTAAAAAGGTATATTATACATTTTTTGTAATATACAAATTATTAAAGTGTTGCTAAATTTTTATACAGGAAACACAAAAATTAATAAAAATAGTTTCAATTATTTTATTCAATTCAACAAATACGAAAACCCCTCAAATCTTGAAACCTAAACGCACACAAACAACAGAATGAAAAGAGACGACGCACTCGCTCGCGTGGCAACCGGAGCCGTCGTTGGCGGCGCTATCGGCGGCGCTGTCGGTGAGTTTCTTCATCCTTATTCCCCTTTTAGTTTCGCTGCAAATCAGAGCTAGCTTAGTCGTTGTGTTCTTTTCACTGATGCAACTTTCACTCTGTTCTTAGGTTAACGGTGTATATTTATTTTTGAGATTTTTCTGTTGCGTGTAGGTGCTGTATATGGAACTTACGATGCAATTAGGTGTAAGGTGTGTATCTGAATTCCAATTTTTTTTTTTGGTTTCATTAATTATTGAATAAATGAATTGGTAAAGGTGAATGCGGTTTCTGTGTAGTATTGGAGTGTTCTTTGCTTTGTTTGAATTTGAAATTCAACATTTAAATTGCTTTTTTATTAATTAAGAATAGAATTAGGGTGATTATGTTTTGTTTTGCTTACTGGAAATCATATAGTGGTAGATTAAATTTCGAAGCCGAATCACTAAATCATATGTATTACTGATTGCAATTGTAGCCAATGTTTTAAATAATGGTCGCAGTCGCGTAAAAGCTTTCGCGATTTCGGTCGGTACAAGTGTTGTATCGCTGATTGCGGTCATCGCAGTGTGAATTAACCATAATTTTTTGTCATAAAATGGTGAATAACGGTATCATTATCGGCACTTTCCGATAACGTGTTGTCCAGTGGAATGTGGATTTTAACTGTTTGTCCAGTGTTGTATATGGCGGAGAAAATCTGCCTTATGAACACGCCATTGCGGCTTATGGTGGGCATCCTTTCACAAACTGCCTATTGTTGTCAAAAGATCAGCTACGCCATTCTGATTAAGAAGTGAAGTGGATTACAATATAGGTAGAAATGGAAGATGCATCGATAGAACCCTCTGTCTCTTTACATGTGTCGGAGAGATATAGGAATAAAGATGAAGAAATATGGATACAAGATGACACAGACTTCTGAATGGGTTTGAGAGAACTGGACTCACCTCAGGCCTTCCTTTCTCTCTCAATCAATTGATAACTTTCCTTATTAACTCCTCATACCTCCTTTAATTTCTAGTTACATGTGCGAACACTGCTTGTTGCCTGTTTCTAGTTACAAGTGGTCTCTAACAAGTTGAAATTGGATCAGTGAGATCTTATATTCTTATGACCTTAAGTTTCTAGTTTGTGCCCAAAATTCTACGAGCTATTTTGCTAAAAGATGAACAGTTTGATGTAGAGCTAAGGAAAGAGGATATAAGGTCTTGTCTGTAGGCCATGAACTAGTGGGTGGGCTGGCCTATGTTGGCATCTCCACAGCCATCTTTACTAAATGATGATTCCATGGTTCTCTTTACTTATGTTTATTGGATGATCATCAGAAAAGCTGTAATAGAGGAATATGCCAATATCATTCTCAATCCTTGTTCTATTCAAAATGCAGTGTCTGATTGCTGTGGAAATGTAATTAAAGAAATAAAAAAGAAAATTTAAACTTTTCTATTCAGGGAGAGTTATAAACAAAATTATCATAGAAAGAAAATGAGTGGGCTAACCCATTGGCTGACCTCATCCCTAACCCAAAAAATTAGAAGGGAATTGGGTGTGTGGCTTGTAAAATTTCTTGGTTCAATTGGTGCCTACACTGCAAAGTTTATGGGAGCTTGGAAGGTTTGCGGATGGCCAAGGTTAGAGGTTATAGAGCCAGTTTCAAATGGGTTCTTCCATTGTGGTTAGTTACCTGGTAGTTCTGTGGGGAAGTGTCTGTAGGTGGAGTCCGGTGCAGCCCATTGGGCGACTCATTGACTCACATGTATCTACTAGAGGCCTACAGGGCTGTCGATGCCCTTGCTAATATGGGGTTTGTTTGCTGACATTTTTGGGGTTTGTTTCTCTGTAGTTAATCTTGGGCTCCAAAAACACATCACTTGACAGACAACTACATAGTTAATGGGTTATACTGGAAAGTTCATATGTGGAGACTGTTGTGTTTTATCTTAATGCTTGTTACTTTGGATTGGACAAAATATTAGTGATAAATATTGATTCATCCTTTGTCTATTGATTTGGATTTATTTTTCAAATTCTCTCCCAATGCTTGTATGATTTTATATAATAGATAAAGTAACAATATATAAAATGACATACTTAAATAATTTACGACCAACCAAGCCTTATCCCACTAAGCGGATCGGCTACATGGATCAAATTCAGCCATTATGCTCTAATCCAATACCATATTTCTATCCAATTCATTGCTTCACACACTTTCCTTGAAAAAAAAAGAAATGAAACAAAATAATCAAAATTCTGATTCACATACATCACAAAATGCATTCAACATAAACCTGCCATTATTTATCATCGTTACTATCTGGAGGTAAAGACAAGGATATCATACCCAACATTTCCAAGTTGTAGTTAATTGAGTTAGTTCTTTTCATTAAAATATTGATAAACTCTGATATTTAAGTATCTTATGACTTAATTCTTTTAGTTTCTTGTAGTTCTTTTCAGATTTATATCTAATCTTTGAACTTTGGCTACTGTAAAGTATTTTTATAATCTCTATTACTCGGAACACATATATGATCCATCCACGAGATTCTTAAAAGATATATGCATTCTGTTGTGTGCATGTATATCTGTTCGAGGGGATGGAGTGGTATATTCAAACATTTATGTATCACGTTGTCTTGGAGTGCAATGTCTTTTACTTTAGTATTTTCATGTTGTCAGTGTGATGTTTTGCTGAAAATACTATAGCTTATTTTTTTATGAAACTTAGCCTTGATGTTGAAACCTGCACAGGTTCCTGGATTCCTCAAGATCAGGCATATTGGGCAAACTACTATAGGAAGTGCAGCTATATTTAGCTTGTTTCTTGCAGCAGGAACCTTGATTCGTTCTCACTAGTTTGTCTTGTATTAAATTGTGCAGTCATGGTGATGAGTTTTCTCCAATTGTGGTTTTGTTACCCTTATAGAATTTAATCTTTTCTGTGTCTGGACTAAACTATTATGCTGCTGCATTACTTTTCCGGCAATAAATATTTGACAATTATTTGCTGGCTCATCTAGGTTTCTCTACATATTCTGTCCTTTTCCTGAGACTACCATTCTCTCCACAAGAGTTGCTTCCTTTGGATTTAAGCTTTGCATTTCCATTCTAGGGGATAAAAGTTGCTTAGCAGCTTAATCCACATTTTGTGGGTATATTGTAGATAAGAAAAGTTTGATTTCTGGATTATGTATCCACACTGCATATACTGTTAAATTACATGCTTATGAATGTTTAACAGTGAAAATTATTTACACAATCAAGCAGTTGAATAAGATTTGTATTTTACGCAATATTGATGGTGTAATTATTATGTTTTTTTTCATACAATATAATTTAATTATTAAAATGATGCAATATAATTTAACTATTAATATAATTATGTTAATTTAACATTTGAGTCATATTTAGAGAATGACTCCAATATAATTTTTGTAGCATATTTATATCAAATTGAAAAAGAAAACAGTAGTTTCCAATAGTTTCATTTTTCTCTTTTAAAACAACTTGAATTTCTGATGGAGATAGTCTCGAATAGAATTTTCACCCGAGTAAAACATATGTGAAGCCAAAAATTAAAACAACTAAACTTTTAAGGTTAGGTTTAGTTTTTTCTTTTTTTATATACAACTTTTGTAATTTAAATGACTGTAAAAGTGGTTATAAATAAAATTAAATGTTTCTAATTATCTGACTATTATATTATGTACATTGATAATGTATATAAAATAAACTTTTAATCTAAAACAATTGTTTTTGATCTAAGTTGTGTGTTTATTTTTAAAACATTAAAAGAATTGTTTTGGTACATATTAAAAAATATATTATTTTTAAATATGATTAATGTTATCCGGTGTTTTAGAGATAAAATTTAATATCAATTATTAAAATTAATATTATCAATGTATTAGATATATACTTTAACAAATAATAATTATAATTTAATTAAAAACTGAAAATCAATATGCATAAATTAAATGAACAATAAGGTGTTATTTCTAATTATATTTTTTTGAACATTTTCATCGGCATAATAAGAGAAATAACTTGCAGAAAAAGAGAAAAGAATCAACGGAATAACGAGAGAAAAGAGAAGAGAGAAATAGTATTGAATTATTTTCATTATCAATATCAATTTCAAGTACTCATATTTATAGAACATATATAATAAATAGAAAGTTAATATGGAATCTCTTAATTAATTGACATTCATAATCATGTTATTTATAACACTTTCTCTATAATGTCCATAAAAAATACGTCTTTTAAAATCTTATTAGAAAAAAATCCAGTAAGAAAAATTCTAGTCAAAGAAAAATAGTACAATATTCTTTATGAAAGAACTACGTCGTTGCTAATCAATACAAATTATTTTAAATAAGAAAGAAAATTACAGGAAGACAAGCATTCATTATTCATAACAGTTTCTCTTACATGTTTGTTCAAGATATGTCTCGTTAAAACCTTACTAAAAAAAACTTAATGGAAATAAATTTAGTGAAAAAAAAAGTATAATATCATTTTAAGAAAAAATCATTTCTCCCCTGCCGAACGAATTCATTTCTCCTCCTCAACTGAACGATCATTTCTTCGACGATGAAGACTAATCTTTTGCTCTGAAAGGTTTGCAAGATTATCGCATGAACAAATTTGTTAGAGCTTATATCTCCACTTTTCTGAAGATCGTGAGTGAAAAAGAACTTTGAAGAAATGTGTTTGATTCTATCTCCTTTAATGTAACCATCTTTCAATTGAGTAATGCATGCAATATTATTTTTATATATGGTTGTTGTATATCTTTTTTTCCAAAATTTAAACCACAAATCTTTTGTGTGTTGAATTTGTGATTTCAATCAAACGTATTCTCGATTTGCCTCATGTAGTGCTAAAAATTTCTTCATGATTAAATAAATTTGTTGTGATTTATTTTATAAGTCTCCATGAAATAGTTGCACCATCATAAGTAAACAAATAATATATGCAATGTACCATTATGAGGATTTGACAAGTAACTTATTTATGCATAACACGTTAATTATAATTTGTGTACTTTGGAATAAAATAAACTCATGTCCATTTATCCTTAAGATAACGAAGTATATGTTTAACTCTGATCAAATGTCTTCGTGTAGGTGAATAACTATATTTTACTAGTAGAGTTATAGAAATTAACATATCATAGTGTGTATAATTAGCAAGATGGATTAGTGTTTGAATTTAACTAGGATATGGTACTTCATGACCAATTAGTTTTTCATCATCTTCTCGAAAAGAATTGTTTGTACATCCCATGATCTAACATCATAAAGGTAGATAACCTACGAGATTTGTCTATATAAGAACATTTTAACATTTTTGCTATATACGAGATTTTCTCATATAGAAATTGATCTAACCTGATCAGACTTGGACCGTCACGGCTGGCTCCAAGCTGAAAGCTTTTTGAACGAGGTGGGGGGGGGGGGGTACCTGCAAGACACTCTGATGCTGAAGTAAGTAGAAGCACGAGCAGGCAATAGTAAGTATGGGTAGAATAATGAATACCTGACCCTCTGGAAACAGAGGGTATTTATAGCCCCTAGCGCTGGGCCAAGGTTCCTTCCTTGGGCCGGGCAGGTTTGGCCCAATGGAGAAACTGTCAGGTTCTACGTGCGTAGTGGGGACCCGCACGTGGTCCCCTTCCTGGATGTTCTGCGTGAAGTGCGGGCGGACGGAGACGCGGTCTTTTCGGGGTCTCGTTGGGAGTGCAGTGGACTGAGTCTGCCCTAGTTGGGGTGCTCGAGATGATGTCGAGCTGGACAGCAGGATGTCGAGCTGGAGATGTAAAGGTCGAGCAAGTGACCTCAGGGAGCACGTCGGGCATGACTGTGACCCTTTGGTCGGCGTGGTCCTCAGCAAGTCCATTTGGATTGGGCCTTAGCAATGCTATTGGGCCTGTCGGGCCCAGTCCAGAACAGGAGCCCCCCAAGTCGTGGTTCCTTTGTTAGGAGCCATGGCTTGAACTCAGGTCGTTTCCGCTTCGGGGTCTCGCGCCCGGGTCAGAGATGCAGGCCCTCGAGGGCCTCTCCGTGTCGTGCTCGGAGACATCTTTCACGGTGGATGCTCGGAGGATCCTCACCGGCGCGTGTCTGTCGAGCACACGAGGTATCTTTCGGGAACTGCGCCTGATTCATGACCGTGCCCGGTATGTTCATGGTCCAGGCCGTAGGTTTCACGGTGTTGCTCGCCATGTTCATACCTTGGGTCGACATGTTGGAGAGTGACCGCGTTGTCGGTTTGCTCAGGCGGTTTGGAGAAGGGCCCATCGAGTTATCTGGACGTCGGGGAGGCGACTGCTTTCTTGTTGCAAACTAACTTTTGTGGTCGTGCATGGAACGACGTGGTTTGTCGTACACTACATCTGGTCCGTTACGTCGAGCGTATGGTTTCGTGCCCAACTGACTGGTTTCCCGTGCTCTGCAGGTAACCATGGCGGACGAGCCGTGCTCCTCTGGACGCCACGAACATGAGGAACAAAGTGCCGATGAGGCGGTGAGCTTGGTTGATACTGTCGACGACCCTTTGTTGGATTGGGTGGGCGCCGAGCCCCGAGGAATCGCGTCGATATGTAGCCGGCGTGACCGAAAGCCATATGCTCTCCTCGAAGCGGGCCAGGGCCAGCCTGATTTCCAAAAGAATTTCGTTGTCACGCGGCCGACCTCCCGTGCCCGGATCTGCTCGGTGTACCCAGAGTATAGCTTCCCGATGTACGAGATTGCGTTCAAAGATCTTGGGCTGCAGCTGCCCTTCAGTGACTTTCAGACCGGGGTCTTCGCCCATCTGGAGCTGGCCCCGTCACAGCTACACCCGAACTCACTCGCCTTTATCCGGGCGTTTGAGCTGACATGTCGCTTTCTGAGGATTGGGGCGACGATACCTCTTCTTCAGAATTTTTCATCTGCAACGCCAGTCCCGAGGAGGGAAACACAGCTGGGTCTCCTTAAAACAGTCGAGGAGACTATTCAAGATGTACATGGACTCCGTAAGGGGTTTTAAAGACAAGTGGTACGTCGTGAGGCCAGTTACCACGTCTGCTTTAGGATCCCTGTACGAGGAGGAGGCGCCCATAAGCGATGATGACGGTGAGGCGGTCTTAGACAATGATGGGTATCCCGCGATGGCCCGCACAACCAAGTTCCCTGTGCATTGGATGTTCGGGCATTACGAGCACGGGACTGGATACTATCATACCGCTGCAGGCGACATGTGTCCGGAGGACGAGGAGGCGTACGCCACTCTTTGTCGGTTCGTCGACAGCTTCCACCCCGCCCGGTGGGCCACGAGGGAAGGGGAAGATGTCTTGGATGCCGAGGGTTATCCGACATTTGAGTCCCGGCCGATTGATACTAAGGCACTCGTGGAGTGTCAGACGTTCAGACAGGCTGCTCGTCTGCTAGGTCGTTTATTGTTTGAATTTCTTTGCTCGTCATTTATTTATGAACTTGCTCGATACTAACCCGTCTTTTATTTTGTGCAGGTTCGATGGCCGGTCGACGGGAAAGACTCTTGAAGCTGTCTTGCGACCAGAAGCGGGGTAGGACGGTCGTGAAGGCTCCCCGGGCAACGAGGATGGGCCCGCCACATAGTCCGGGCGCTACTCAGGTGGTGAGGGTGGATTCGTCGCCCAGCTCGGGGGCCGCGTCGGACGAGATCCCAGATGTTCAAGACGCCGATCCTAATGCCGACCTGATACAAAGAAAGAGGACCCAGGTGGAAAGCGGCCCGACTGTCAGCGAGGACACCAGCACCGTCAGATCTTTCGGGTTCCCCCCTTGCTTCAAAGAGGAGGGTTTCTTCGAGAGATTCCCTCTGTCTGT